TTTATTAAAACTTCCCAAAACCATTTTCGATATGGATCACAACTGGACACGTCCAAAATCCATCGTTGAGATGTACAACCCTAAATCCAACAACTGGGAAGTTGCCCCTTGTCTGAATAGCACTGCCTTGGAGATCACAACCGAACTCTTGAATGCAGAAAAGACAAACATGACTAGAACAATCACATGGACACAATCAATTTAGAAGTGTTTATGGCTGGACTTCAGAATGAAGTTACCTACGTATCCCAAAGATGGCAATCAAGCCTTACATAATTCGGTTCGGGTTCACTTGGGTTTTGACACTCTCCTTTTGCGCTCTAACTTTTGCCAAGGCTACCATTTCTTGGTTTTCAACCTTACGACCTCAATTTTTCTTATTTCAAATTTTTTGTGCTCTAACTTTTGCCTAGGTCGCCCTTTCAGGTTTTCGGCCTAGTGAGCCACTCAGGGATATTGTTTCTTTAACTTGTCCACGTTGATCGGTTAGGAGAATTCAAGGCCATCTAAGTCCATAAGAACGACAGCTCCACCCGACCAGATAGACTTGATGATATAGGGACTAGTCCAGTTAGGTCTGAACTTCCCCTAGGGTCGTAGATGGGAGCTTGGTTGTCTTTGAGCACCAAATCCCCTTCTGTCAAATTCCTGGACTTAACTTTCTTGTTGAAAGCCTTGGAAATTCTGCGTTGATAACCCTGGGCGTGATATAGTGCTTTCAGCCTTCTTTTGTCGAACAGCATGAGTTCTTCGAACCTGCTCTGCTGCCAATCTGCCTCAACTATCTAGCACTCAGCCATTACCCGCAATGATGGAACCTCAACTTCGATCGGCAAAACAGCCTCCATTCCATAAACCAAGGAATACGGAGTTGCCCCAGTAAAAGTTTGAATTGATGTTCTATAGCCCCAAAGAGCAAATGGCGGCTTATCTAGCCAGTCCCTGTAGGTTTCCACCATCTTCTGCAAAATGTGCTTGATGTTTTTGTTGGTGGCCTCAACAACTCCGTTGGTTTGTGGCCGATATGTGGATGACTTATGAAAAGCCACATTGTATTTCTCCAACAAGTCGATCACCTCCTTCTTGAAGTGGAAACCATTATCTGAAATAATCTCATTCGGGACTCCATAGCGACAGATAATATTGTTCCTTATGAACTTAGCTACGTGTGACGCCTTCAACACTGCGTAGGATTGGGCCTCGACCCACTTTGTAAAGTAGTCTATCGCCACCAGGATATACTCATGCCTGTTCAACCCCTTCGGAGTAACTGCCCCAATAACATCAATCCCCCAAACTAAAAATGACCATGGTGAAGTCATGTTATACAACTTCGACGGTGGAATGTTCATGCGATTTGCATGAATCTGGCATTTGTGGCATCGCCGATCAAAACCAATACAATCCTCCTCCATGGTTGACCAGTAGTAACCCTTTCTGAGAATTTTCTGAGCTAGCATTACCTCGCTTATATGCGCTCCGCACTCTCCTCCATAGATGGCCACCATCAGGCGCTTTGATTCTTCAGCATCAACACATAGTTTATGCATCCCAAGATGACCCTATTTGTACAGTTTACCCTCGCAGATAATGAACTGAGCAGCCATTCTTCATATTGCCCTCTTATCTTTGGCATTTACCCCTGGTGGATAAGCCTTCTTTTCCAAGAAGTTCCAGCTATCATGGTACCAAGGGTTTTGATCTTGTACTTCATCTATGGCAGCAATCAGCTCGTAGGCCGGCACAAACCTCTATTCAATGTTGATTGGACGCATCTGGACTCCCAAAGGGATGTCTATCATAGAAGATAGAGTTGATAAAGCATCTGCAAACATGTTGCTCTCTCTTAACAGATGGGTGAAGGTTAACTTCTCAAACCTGGGAATTTGGACGTCCAGGGTTTGGTGATAAATTTTCATCATTTCTTCCTTAACCTTCCAGTCTCCTTTCGCCTGAGACACAACCAGGTTTGAGTCCCCAATGACGTCCAACCTTTTTGCCCCTAGTTCCAGGGCAGTTTCCAAGCCAGTGATACATGCCTCATACTCTGCCTCATTGTTCAATACTTTGAACCAAAGTTTGAAAGCTAAGAGTATGTGGGAATTGTCGGGTGCTATCAGCAACACCCCTATCCCATACCCATACTAGTTAGACGCTCTGTCAAATTACATAGTCCAGACCTCTTCTACAAGCTACAAAATGGCCTCATTCGAGAACAGATACTCCACTGCTTCATCCCCCTCTACTGGGTGATCGGCTAGGAACTCTACTACCGCTCTCCCTTTCACAGACTTGCACGTCATGTACTTCAGATCAAATTCGGAGGGAAAAAGCAACCAACGGGCTAGCCTACCCGTAAGTGCTGGTTTCTCGAAGAGATATTTGGTGGGACCTAATCTCTAAACCAGTATTACAGAGTGAGCTAACAGGTAGTGCCTCAGCTTCCTGGTAGCCCATACCAAGGCCAAACAAGCCTTCTCTAGCGGAGTGTAATAGTTCTCATATTCCAGCATTTTCTTGCTCAAGTAGTAGATAACCTTGTCCGCTTTGTCCTCAGATTCCTACGCAAGCATGTAGCCCATTGTCGTGTCGGTTACTGATAGATACAGAATCAACGATTTTCCCGGCTCTGGCAGTGACAACACAGGTGGGTTTTGTAGATACTGCTTGATCTGCTCGAAAGCAACTTGGCATCAGTCATCCCACTGGAATTTCTTTCCTTTCTTCAGGAGACCAAATAGTGGTTCACAAGTCAAGGTTAATTTTGTAATAAACCATCTTATGAATTGCACTTTACCCAGAAAGCCTCTCACCTCTTTTTCAGTCCTTGGTGGTGGCATTTATAGGATGGCCTTGATCTTGGAAGGATCGACTTCGATGCCCCTTTGTGTAATCAAGAACCCCAGCATTTTCCCTGCTGTAACACGAAAAGTACATTTCTGAGGATTCAGTTGCGACCGATATTCTCTGATCCGTTGGAAAAATTTCTTCAAGGCAATGTAGTGGCCCTCCCTTTCCTTGGGCTTGACAATCATGTCGTCCACGTACACCTCAACCTCTTTGTGGATCATATCGTGCAAAATCATGGTTGCAGGCCGTTGATAAATAGCCCCAGCATTCTTCAAACCGAACGGCATCACCCTATAGCAGTAAGTTCCCCACGGGGTAGTGAAGGCAATTTTCTTCCTATCTTCAGGTGCCATCAGAATCTGGTTATAGCCCGAAAATCCATCCATAAACATGAGCAACGCATGGCCAGCGGTGAAATCCACCAATTCGTCGATATGCAACAGAGGAAAGTCATCATTCGGACTGGCTTTGTTCAGATCTTTGAAGTCCACACATACCCGAATTCTGCTATCTTTCTTCAGCATTGGAACTATGTTGGCCAACCAAGTAGGATACCCAGATACTAACAGGAACCCTACATCAATCTGCTTGGTGACCTATTCCTTGATTTTTAGAGCCCAGTCCGGGCAGATCCTTCGACGCTTCTGCATAACAGGTCGGGCCTTAGGTTCAAGAGGTATCCGGTGCTATACAATCCCAGGATCGATTCTAGGCATGTCTTCGTAGGACCACACAAAAACATCTTTGAAATCTTTTAATAAAGCGACTAAACGCTCTCGTTCCTCCGAAGACAACGCGGACCCGATCTAGACCAACCGTGGATCCTTCTCAGTACCAACGTTAATTGAAGTGATTTCGTCAACCAAAGGTTTTACAAACCTCTTTTGCTCTTGATTAATCAAATGTTTCAAAACCGGAAGAATTTCTTCCTCGTCGTTTGCATCAAAGTTTTGAAAGTCCTAATTAATGCAATAAACTAAAGGCACGAAAAAGTAATCAGAACCCACAATAGTACCATTCTCATTAATAACTTCCAGTTCGTCTGATTCTTCAGTTACAACCAACTCAAAAGAAAATGAAAAAGACGACCCGGACAAGACAACAGCATCCGGGTTATCAACCCCAGGAATACCGAACTTTGACCTAGAAGAACTAGAATTTGATTCTGACTCCACAGACTCTATGGAATCAGATTTGGTTTTCCTACCTGACCCAAAACTGCTTGACAAAAAGCCTTCCTCGTACAACCAAACTAGAGAGGGTGCGATGGACGCGTCCAGAATACCAGAAGAAAGGCCCACAGCCGTTTGATCCCCAATCATGGAAATAGAGAAATCATCCCCCAAGCACTCTAATGTGATCTGAGGATCTGAGAGGAGACAAGCTAGCGCTGCTCCTAACTCGAGTTCTGTGCCCTTGGACTCATCCTCTGTGCATTGCTCAGCCTTAGCTGGTGGGTCAGTCTGCTCTTCCGCAACTTCATCCCCTGGCACCTGAAGGTCGAAAAAGATTTCGAAGCCGGACAAGCACCGGTTCTCTGAATTCAGCCATGGCTCTGAAAAACCGCAAAACGAGAAATTTTCCCCCTCCCTGACAAAGCGTTCGTTCAGGGTTCCTCGGATAGATCTGTGCACCAACTCGTAGTGCTTCCCAGCTTGCTTAGCCTTGGCTCTTCCGGCCATTTCATTTCCTTTCCTTGCCTAATCCTCTTTGGTAGGCGAGTAACCTAAACCAAAGGTATAAGGGTTGTGTGGCACTTCGGCCAATGCAGCGACGCCCTTCTGGCCACTCTGTCCCAATCCCATTCCGGGCATGTGTTGAAGCTTGTTCATGAGGTAAACAGATTGCACACTGACATACAGCCCCTCATCAACATCCAGTATATCCTGTACTACCCGAGCCTCAGTCAAGGTGAATCCTGACAAAAAGACATCCTCCACACCGTGTTCAATTTTCAAGACCGGTGTAGAAACCTCTGGCGGTGGATGTATTGAAGAGTTCCCAAAAACAATTGCTACCCCCTTCCTATGGGGGTACTTAAGCATCTGATGTAAAGTGGAAGAGACAGCCCTCACCTGGTGCAACCACGGCCACCCAAGGAGTAAATTGAAAGTGGCTGGAACATCCAAGACATGGAACTCAATGTCCTGCTACACCGGGCTAACCTGAGTTTTGATCCGTACTGTCCCCATCACTTCTCGACTAGTGTTATCATAGCCCCGAATCACTTGGGTTGTTGGTGCGAAATCTGCGAGCTTCAACCCGATAACATACGCCATTCGCGATGGACATACATTGATTGCAGATCCCGTATCAACCAGGACAACCGGTATCCATTTTTCCTTACACTCCACAGAGATATATAATGGCTTGCTATGATCAGAGCCCTCGGGCGGTAATTCTTTGCCTGTGAAGGTTAAAGTCGGTAAAGCTCCACCTGGGAACACCAGTCCCACCAACTACTCGGGTGTTGTATCAATGGAAAGTTTAGCCTTGTCCATTGCAGATAGGACGGTTTGTTTATGAACCCTTGAGGCCATGAGCAGTCCCCAGATGGAGATGTCTACTTGAATTTTCTTCAGCTACTTCAGTACATCTTCCTCCTCTAACAGTTTGTCTTTCTGTTTCTTTACTTCTTTGTCTTTCCCGGACGCTTCTGGCTGGTCTAAGTGCGGGGGCTTGAAATACCGCCCACTTCGGGTCATATGGTCCACTTCTTCGGTGTACCAAGTGTCGTCTGGTTGATTCTGACCCCAGTCCTCATCTGTATGGGCAAGACGCAAATCATCGTCTTCCCACCATATCCGCTCGGCAACCAACAGACAATTGTCCGGCTCTGCTGTAGATGGTCCCGTGCCTCAACACATTTTATCCCCACAGGATCCTTGGCTTTTCTAGCCCTGTCATCATTCCAATCCTCTCTTGTTCAAACTGCTTCAACGTGATTTCCTGTTTGGTGTCGGCTGTACACAAACTACCCAAGTCCCGAGCAAAATTCTCAGCACCGGTGCTCTTCGGCGACTCTCCCTTGTTCTCGACCATTCCGGCCATTGTTAACACTTCTGTTTCTAACAGTTCCTGCCTTAGTAGAGATCCCTCATCAATATCAGGCTCGTTACTGAGCCACCCTGTATTGTCTGTTGCTTTGTTTGCATCAAACCACCTAATCTGTAAATCTCCCAGGTCCTGCTCATCAAAAAACTACAGGTTGCTGATATCCTCCTCCAGCTTGGCCAAATCATCTAGCCCTTGACTCGGCCCGTCATCCCGGACGACATTTACCTCCATCCTAGTTGGCAAATCCACCCCTAGCTTACCTTGGCTCACTGGCACGATGTAACAGCAAGGGTTGTATGCTTCCTCAATTATTCTCACAGTGCCCTCAGGCATGCCTTCTACCACAGCCACCACCACGGGTTTAGGCTGGGGTAAAGACGTGTTCATCATGCACAAGTCCGTGCTTTCGGGGATGAACAACATCGGCTTAGGCAGGTAGGAGGAAGGGATGTATATGCTGGGGTCGTATGGAACGGCCATGGTTTGGATTAAGTACACTTGCCTAGGTGGTGGAGGGGGGTTGTTATGTGGTGGGAAAGGGTTAGTGGTGATATTTGGCTTCTTGGGAGGCACAGTCACCTTGTTGTCAATGAGATCCTAGATCTCATGACGGAGTCTGAAGCAGAGGTCAGTGTCATGACCGTGCTGCTGATGAAAGGCGCAATACTTGGTCGGGTTATGTGTTAGAGGGAGGGGATTTGGCAATGAGCGTGGTTCCAGGGGCTTCAGATGCCCCTTTCTGATTAGAACCCCCAAGGCTTTGGATAAAGACATATAAAGTGGGGTAAAGGTCCTCTAGCCCCTAGGTGGGTATTTTACAGGTTGTATTGTGGCTCCAGATGTGCCGATGAAGGGTGTGGTTGTTTTTGGCATGGTGGTGACCATGCCGACGTCAGAAGTCCTTGCGGCTGCATTGCTACTTGTAGCTGCATTTGAACCACGTGTAAACACCCTATTGGGCTGCTCCTTTTCCTGGTCAATCAGACCTTGCTTCATAGCATCTTCTATCTGTACCCCTATCTCATACAAATCAGTGAAGGTGGGGAGGGGTGAGACAATCATCTTCTGCATCAGCTTGGGTTGCAGGTTACAAACAACCATTCTTATCTAATCCTTTTTGGGTGGCCAAGTTGTCATCATGGAGGCCTTGGCCCTCCATCGAGTGACAAAATCAGAAAAGTCTTCTTTTGGCTCCTGCTGGGTTGCCTTGAGATCACGAGTCATGACTTCGATTTGGGTGTTGTAAGCATATTAGGCGATGAAGGCCTCCGCCAACTCCTCCCAGCTCCTTTTCACTAAATCCTCCAATTTGGCATACCAAATGGCCGCAATACCCAACAGGGTCCGACCGAAGGGAGATAGTTTCTGGAGTCTAGTTAAGCCCATTGGGCACAGAATATCCGAGAACAGCTACAAGTGAACCATAGGATCGCACAAGCCATCAAAGCGATCTATGTGAGTCATTTTAAACCTATCCGGCAATGTCACCGCCGAATCTGTGTAGCCATCCTCTATGTCTGGGATCGAGTTAACTCCCTGAGCTCGCTTGAACAGCTTTTCAAGCTTGCTTACTTTCAAAGTAGTAGGATCGGACTCAAATTCGAACGGTGTGTCTGATGAGTTGGCCAGTGCTTTAGAAATCTGAGGCGGGACTGGCCCTGTTGGAACGTTTGTATGCTCCTAGACGTTGGTTGTATCCCCAGCTGTTGGAACCCTAGGTGGGGGTGGGAGTGGATGCGAAGCAGATGCTCCGACTTGTTGTGGTTGCTGCTGTTGTTGAAGCCTAGCAATTAGTTATGCCTGTTGGGCTACAACCTCTGTCTGACAAGCGGTAACTTTCGTTTGGCGAGCAGCATCCCGCTGCATAGCCTCCACGGTCTGTTGGAGTTGACGCATCATTTCTTCCATACTGTCTGTAAAGTGCCGATCTGTCTGAACAGGTGTATATTCTCTCTCTAAGGTAAAAACAAAAATCTCAGCCCAACTGTGCACGGGTGGGGTAGACAATGACCGCTGAATTAGCAACTGCTGTACTGGTACTCTATGCCTGACTGCCCTCCTTCTTGTAACCAGGGGTAATGAAGCAAACACTGGTTGTCCATCAGTAAGATCCTCAGATCTATGAAGCCTTCTACCTCTGGTCCAGAGTGCTCGGGGGGTATCTGCCTCGTCGGAAGCAATTGTGAAACACTACCTTGCAAAAAGAAAAATAAAGCAAAAAGGAAACAACAATCAGAAAACAGACAGCATCTCGACTTAGATAAAGACAACACACAATTGATAATCATAAGTTGGACAATCTGTACTCAAACACTGATTTCTGCCCCAAAACTGATACCCTCAAACACTGATGCCCTCAAACTGATACCCAGACTTGCAATTGATGCATACATTCCTGTAGAGACACACCCTAACAGCACATATCAAGCAAGTGAGAGCCAAAACACCCCTATAGTGGGGGTAGGGTTTCCCTATCCTATTTTTGTCAGGAACTAGGGATTCACTACGCATGCATGCGGTTTCAAACAATCCTACATTTAGGGGAGCAACATGTCCTAGTTTGGAACAATCTCTAAGGCTTTCGATATGTAACTAGGCCAAATGGTCAAAAAGGGTGCCTCAGCAAGACCACCTAATATACCTTTTGCACCTAACACCGAGAAGTGAAAGGTGGATCAAATGGTACGGCGTTGATCCAGATCCAAGGTTTGTGTTCCCATCGTGACAGAGCCCATAACCAATCAGCCTTATGGCATGTTTTTCCAAGCAAGCCTCCGATAAACCATTCAGGAATAGCAGATGGCAAACACTGTGACTAACGTGCACCAATGCAAATACAATGAAAAGAAACACATAAATGTAGATAAAATAACATATCATGAGTTCGAGTCCAGTTCTCTAAATCCCCAACAGAGTCGCCAGAAACTGTAGACCCAACTTTCTTCGTGCGTCCCCCTTTCGGAGAAGGCGCGAATTGGTCTCCAACAGTTCAGACTCCTGCCACGGTTTTGAATCTAATTTCACAAAGTGCATTGTGAAACTAATAAACACCAAAGAGTCCAATCCGGCAAATCATTTTGGAAAATCAGATTTTGAATCAAATAATGCCAAAACTGGACTACTTTGCCAGATTACAGAGTCGCCACATAAATATTTTATTTTTAAGAAATTTAGGAAACCCTAACTCGTGCCAAAGGCCATGTGTCCGTCATTACCAAAGTTGCCTCGGCTTAGGAACTTGGGTATGAGAGGGGAAAGTCCTGAAATGAGCACCCCCGCTTGCCCGATCAAAGATCAGCCTCTACTAAGCATTATACACTGTTTCATAAACACATGTGTTCTTATTCCAGTTATTAGCTAACTTACTATGTGATGCGCACAGCATACAAGCATAGACTAAACTCGTAAGAATTGGAACAAATCAACTCATGTTTGTTTTTTTAAAATGGTTTGAAAATGCCACTCGCAAGTGGGCTAAAGTGCGGATTTGCCACCCTCAAGGTGGGCTTCAAACATGATGATTTGCCACTTTGTAAAGTGGGCTTAAAACTCACATTAATCGAATTGTTCCAATTCAAGTAATAAAACCTTCATTCACAGGCATTCAAACAGTTTAAGCATTTAAGCAAATAGCCTCATTGCAAGCATGCTGTCATGGCAATACTCACACTCATGCAAGTATGCTAAAGCGTAAAACTTACAGTGTACTCTGAGCCAAAACAAAAGCTAGTTAGAAAATCATGTATGATCCTAACTATACAAGATGCCTAATGGAACACATGCAATAATGCAAACTAAATAGGCTCGGCTATCTAAGATGGCATATGAATGCAACAATTTGATATATGTATTCAAAGAAGTATTGAAATACAATGCAGTTGGAATGATGCGCCGAGCCCGGTGTATGCAAGAAAAATGAATGATACAATCATACAAGCATAAGGTATGCTAATCAAAACGTGCCCTAATCTGACCATCGGAAGCGGTTAAGTGAAAGGGAGAAAGACGTGGGGTTGAAAGGCATGCACACACACACGCACACTTATTACAACATTGCGCCCTCGTGAAGGAGGGTCAAAATAAATAATTAGCTAAGCTAATCTAATCTAAGCTAAGCTAATCAACTAATCTAATTAAACTAATTAGACTAATTATTACAAAACCAAATAAAAAAATAGCTAAACTAAGCTACTTAATTATTACAACACTTAATCAATTAGCAACTAATTAATTAAATTACAAAACCATGCTAACTAACAAGTAAAGCATTAAACTACAAACTACATTGCCTCAGCTCTGCTTTGGAAAGTTGAACATGCATGCATTCGGTTTCTCGCCCCGAAAAGCCTTCCGGTTTGCTCTTGAGAGGCTTTGTTTGCA